CTTAGGATCGGCCACTATTATCTTAAACTTCCACTTTACACGATCTCCCACATTATCTACGCACTCATCAGTCTTCCTTATATCGCATTCAATAACATCCATCCATATCTTTTTTGGTCTTCCTCTACATCATTTTCCCTCAACATTAATTTCCATAACTGTTCTTACAGCTTCCGATCCCTCTCTCCTCATAACATGACCAAACCATCTAATTCTATATTAATAGATAAGTCTTATCAATAATTGACGCTATGTTCGTTCCTTATCCTATCTTCTCTAGTCTCCACTCATCTATCTAAGCATTCTCATATTTGCTACACTCATTCTGTGCTCTACTCTCTTGTTAACCGCCTCACACTACTGTCTTATAGAACTTACCTTTCATTGGAATATTTTTATCGTATCAATAAAAATTAATGCATTGTAAAATTATTTACAATAATCTTAATCGCGGGCACTTGTTTTACATGCTATGTATTTTATTTTTTGTAACTTTTATTATATTTTAATAAAAAATTACGACTATGTATCTTGTTAATTAAACATGAGGTATATTAATGAGTATACAGACTTGTTTTTTTCATATTCTAACATTGAATTAACACTACTGTTCCTATTAAGAGTGTCTATTATTTTAATGAAATATTTGTATTTTATTCATCTCTCTTCTGTGTGTCTTGTAATTGAGATGTATTACATTTTAACTTGGCTAAGTTTGATGTTGTTTAATCAACACTTTTCACATATATTTTATATGTGTAATGACTATAAAATGACATAGTGTACACTGTTATTTTTTGCACAAATATCTAATTTGACAATTTATAAGGGCAAAAGTTTTGGTAGCAAGATATATTTCCTGCTTTAAGTGTCAATTTAAAATTTAAATTAATTTATAGTATTTCTATGAATTATTAAATTTAAATTAGTTAAAGAAATAAGGCTAAATCAGAACGGTGTTATTATAGAATAATATAAAAATATAGAATAAATACAATGCAACGTATATATGTGTGTCATCACGTTAAGTTTATTGTTAGTTGCATATTTGGCCTCTATATTGTAGGTTATGCTCACTACTAATTTGATTAAGTATACTTCTTATTTATTATAATATGGAGTGTATCATAATAATTTTGAATTAATAAAGCATAACATAAACAATAACACTATGATCCAGATTATTCATTAATAGAATTTAATATTTGAATTATTAGTCAATAGTTTAAACTAAATTTACACATTTAACTTATTATAAATTTATATTATTTATTTACGTAATTTATAATTCGAATAACTATCAATCGTTTAAATTAAGCGATAGTGCCCATTTCAAAGAACTACCATACACATATAAAAATATATTTATATATCTATGGAAGTACTACTGAACTAACATAACTATTGAAATAACAAGTTCGTCTGGGTGTAAGTTTAGGTAAAAGAAGCCAAAGAAAAAGCTCAAAGATACATAAAGGATAACAATGAAATAGTAATCAAAAAAATGGAATTAAACTGGTCGATTAAACAAGAAGAGGATATGGTTACAACCATAATGGCAGAGACAAAAAACAAAATTGCAAAAATGAGACAATTAAAAGAGTTTGAAGTAATTTATTTAACCATAAGAATTTTTAGGCTTCTATTAAATATTTAAGAGATAAATAAATAATGTGAATTTAGCAATTTTTTGCCGTGGGAGGGGAGTCTATAAAAGGTGACGCAATAAAAAACACTTTCTTGTCTAATTTTTCTTAGAATTGCTATTAAAAAAGTTCTTTAATTCATTAATTAACCAAACATCACAGTTTACTTTAAAAGTAGCTATATTATCGATATTAACTTATGCAAATTTTCGGTACATTACAATGTACAAAAAATGTGCGATTTTTTATGGTGTAATTTACATAGTAATCGTAGAATAATATAAACAACGTTAAAAGAGCCACTTCTAACAAAAAGGTCGTTATTATATATTTTCGGACAACAGCAGTATGTTTTTTGAACAATTAGGCAATAAAATAAAAACTATAAAAAAAACCCAGCAAAGGGGGGTCGCGGCACAGTGGTGACGTGGCATAGTTGGATCAAGTATAATGATATCTGACAGTGATTAAAATCACTATCAAAAATAAACGCTTCGATGCAAATCTTTAGATAGTGTTTAATTTAAAAAAAAATTGGTGGATAATTACAAAAGCTACATGATCTGCTAGTTCCTTATTAATATCTTGATTAAGATAAAGTATGTCGAATGAAAAAGGGATTATTAAAAAATATTATTTCTCATTAAAAAACTATGTTGATCCATTCACTTTTCAATACGTTATATCATTATAAAGTTAAAAATGTAAAAAATAAAATCAAGAATTTTCACACAATAATAGCATTCGGTAGCAATTTTCACCATGAAGACAAAATAAAGTCCGAAATTTTTTTTTTGCATATAAAGTATATTACATTAGCTTTAATTTAAGATATATATAAAAGTGTCAGAACTTTTTTTCCGGAACATTTTCAAAAGTCAAGTAGAAAAAATTAATTTTTTGTGAAAAAGTTGTCATTTTAAATCCCCCACTGTGGCATATAAAGGGTTAAATTTATAAAAAAAATATACCAAATGAAAGGTATGCATGATATCATATGCATCTATATAAAAAAAAATTATATTGATTTGGTTATTTTTAAAAAAGTTATAGCAATTTTAAGTAAAAAAAATTGAAAAAATTTCGAAAATTAGCGATTTTTAAATTTGTAATTTTTTTGGAGGTTTCCCCCATTTACGGGGAACGAGGGATTTTTTTTCAATTTTTGAGGGTAATGTCTTCGACTAGATACGATTTGTGATCTTTTGACGTATCATTGAAAGAAATCGGTTCGGTGAGAGCTGAGAAAAAGTGGTAACAGACACAAAAAAAAAAAACACATCTTAGTAAAACCAATACCTTCTCAGTTTCGCATCGAAGCTAAAAATATATGTCGTATAATACATATGATTTTCCTGAATAGATAATTGAAAAATGTTAATCGCGACCCTTTTCATTGAAGGTGACATTTTCATTGTGGTATATTTAAAAATAATATAATAAAATTATTTCAATTTGTATGATTTCACATTGTAACAAAGGAAATCGCAAAAAAAAAAATCAGGTTTTATTCAAAGTATTATTAGTCAAATGGGCTTTTGGGGAATATTCTATAATTTTATAGTTCTTAAGTCTGGAAGGGTTAAATTCTGTTTTATTTATTCTGAGGAAAAGATAATATCTATTTTTCAATTAAGAAAAAAAATTATCTATATTTTAAATGACTATATTTTAGCTTCGATCTTTTGGTTTTACTATGAGGTTTTTTTTTAATTTTTTTTGTATCTGTTAACACTTTTTTTCAGCTCTCACCAAGCCGATTTCTTTCAACGATACGTCATAAGATTACAAATCGTATCTAGTCAAAGACATTTCCCTCAAAAATTGAAAAAATTTCTCTTGTTCCCCGTAAATGGGAAAAATTTCCAAAAAAATTACAAATTTAAAAATCGCTAATATTCGAAATTTTTTCAATTTTTTTACTTAAAACTGTCATAATATTTTTATTTTTAAAATAACCAAATCAATGTAATTTTTTTTTTATAGATGCATGATGTCTTTACCTTTCATTTGATATATTTTTTTTATAAATCTGACCTTTTACCTGCGCATAGGAGGGGATTTAAAATGACAACTTTTTTACAAAAAATTAACTCTTAAATTAAAGTTAATATAATATATTTTATCATAGCAAAAAAATATTTCGGTCTTTATTTTGACAAGTATTTTACAAAAAATTTACTTTTTCAACTTAACTTTAGAAAGTGTTCTGAAAAGTCTAATACTTTTATATATATCTTAAATTAAAGCTCATGTAATATACTTTATCTTGGAAAAATTTGGAAATTTATTTTGTCTTCGTGGTAAAAATAGTTACCAAATGTTTTATTTTTGTGAAAATTAGTAAAATTAGTACATATTATCTTTCCAAGATTGATTTAAAAGAGGATACTTTTTTTATTTTTCCAATTATAAATTCGACATAAAATACTTTTCTTTGGTTCAGTAATATACATGAAATTGAAATAAAATTTTTATCATTATTACATTGACAAAGGCAATTATATAAAATATCACAATAATGTCAAGCAATTTAAAATATATTTGTTGGAGCTACGTTAACATTATGGCTTCTTTTAACGCAATTAAAATAAAAAAATTACAGCTTAAAAAAAATAAAGAATTGCATTTGAAAACATTGCAAGAGAAGATAGCTGCAAAATCAAGCAAGAAAAATATTTCGGGAGATTCAAATCTACTAAAATGCATTAATGAACAAGAAAAACGGTTTGTATATCAATTAAATGAATAGTTATTTATTTCATCAATTATACTAGGCTATTTAAATAAAAAAAATTTTTGTAATAGGTAATGAGTTATACAGTTAAGTGGATGTAACCAACCGTAATAGATTATAAAAAAATTTAAACCATATTGATTTATGTAATAATAATAAACAAAAATCTATAATTCAAATAATATCTTAACTAATGAATCTTTTAAAATCTTTATATTATAATCCTACCTTCACTTTATTTCTAGGTTCCAAGAAGAACAACGCTATAAAAAAGAGAAGTTTAATAAACGAAACGAAGATATGGACAATTTTAAGAAAATTAATGAAAATGAAAAACTAAAAAATGAATTAAGATTAATAACGGACTGCCAAAAAGAAATGGATAGATACAAACGAACGATGAAAATATTATACGAATACAAAAAATATTGTAGGAAGATACAAGCTGATAAAATAATAAAGTTAAAAAGAGAATTGGATGAACAGTGTGTGAGTTGATTAATGAAATTGTACAAAATTTATGTTTTTGTTAAATGCTAATACCGATTTTAGGTTGATAAAGTAACAACACATTTAAAAGATAAAGAAGCTGACATTGAACGTTCAGCTATGTATGAAAAATTATGTAATACAGAAAATGAAGAATTTGTAGACTATGCATTGAAAACTATAGAAAAATGCACAAAAGAGGGGAAACCAATAATACCTCTTCTTAAAGCATTAGAGGTTAAAAGTTAAAAATTTGTACTTAAAAAAAATATATTTTTTAATGCTTTGATTTTAGGAGTACTTAAAAAAGAATAATTTATATATTGATGAGGCTTCTCATAGAGTTTTAAGAATTCAGCCAAAAGCTCACGTAAGAACTTCAAGAGTTATTCATGAGTCATTTAATATTTAATAAAATTTGATTTAAAAAGTATAAAAACATTAAATAAATTAAAGTAAAAAATAAATACAAATAGTTAATAAAAGAGATTAAAATAAATGGCACTTAATAAGTTTTAACATTTGATTCATGGCATTTTTTTTTTTTGGTAAATCATAATATTTTCTAAAACTAAAATAATAATAAAAATTAGTCTATTTTTTTAAATTTATTTAAAAATTTTCTATCCTTTGTTTTACAGAGATCAATATTTTCTTCTAATAGTTTTTTTATATTTTGACTTGATATCTCATTGATTCAACTTCTTTTTAATGTGCTTTATATTTGTTGTATTTTTCACGGTATTTGATTACTTTGCTTTTTAATATTGCATTATCTACCTCCAAATTTATTTAGAATTTTTTTAAAATATTATAATGAAGCTATAAATGAAAATCTATTGTAAATATTTTGTTTTTACAATTAAACTAGATTGTCTTTTTTTAAATTCTTCTGAATGTATAATATCTTTTGTCACTTTTNTTTTTTTAAATTTATTTAAAAATTTTCTATCCTTTGTTTTACAGAGATCAATATTTTCTTCTAATAGTTTTTTTATATTTTGACTTGATATCTCATTGATTCAACTTCTTTTTAATGTGCTTTATATTTGTTGTATTTTTCACGGTATTTGATTACTTTGCTTTTTAATATTGCATTATCTACCTCCAAATTTATTTAGAATTTTTTTAAAATATTATAATGAAGCTATAAATGAAAATCTATTGTAAATATTTTGTTTTTACAATTAAACTAGATTGTCTTTTTTTAAATTCTTCTGAATGTATAATATCTTTTGTCACTTTTTAATTTATTATTGTAATATTCATTGAGGAAAAGCTTGTTTTGCATTACATACATTTCATTTTAAAAGTGTTGAAATTCAGCATCTAAACTTTATAGCTATAAAATGTTTGGTATTTTTAGTAAATTTATTAATATCTGACAAAGCTACTCAAGAATAAGTATTTAAAGAACGTTCTTAAAACGTACATAATCAATTTATAACATTCACATCTAATATACATAAATACTCATTTTTTCATAATCAATTATATAATTTGTTGAGGGCAGACAAAAATGATGCAGTTCAATTTTTATTTTTATTTTTAGTTCAATTGTATTTAGGAACAATTAATTTATAAAAAGATAATTTTTCATTTTAGTGCTAAGATTTAAATTTATAGGTCATTTAAGTCGTACATGGATTATTATTTAAGGATATCTATATATTGTGTCTGAACTTTACTTAAAACACTCAAAATCTACAACATTTGAATTGCTTAACATATCCAATGCACTTAAAATTTTTTTTTTAATTATATTGTATGTAAGAATTAACTCAAATTAATAATAGTTTTATTTATGAAACCTCCATTTGAAAATAAAAATTTAGAAAATAAAATTATTGTATAATGAGTTTATTTGATTACATATACTGGAAGATAATATAATATCTATACTTAATTGAATACATTCATTTTGAAAATATTTGTACACCACATTATCATAATTCATATGTATATTATTATGATACCTTATTTTGAATGTTACGATTTTCATATAAGGAATCACTATATTTTTTTTGCAACTCAATTACTTCTTTTTCTGTTTTTTCTAATTGTATTTGTAGTTCAATCTAAAATAAAAAAA